TAAAACGTCAAAATATACGAGCACAGAGCGATTTAAACTGTCAACGCTGCCGTAAACATTCTCGGTGGCAAGTCGGTCTTTTGGGGCCGGGAAAGGGGACCTCTGGCCAAAACTGGAACCATGCGGAGCTCGGCTACTTGTTGCCTCAAATTTGCTTATGAGCAGGCCAAAACAACCGACCGGGCGAACTCCACTTCACTTCACTCGACTCGACTCCGAAGTCTGTGGCCTGGTCTAATGTGGCTCGTAAATCCTGGCCAAAACGGCCGAACGACCGAACGGCCAGTGGTTGCTAGCCTCGTTTTTGGCCGGGCCTGATGGATGTTGTGATGCGGCTGGGGCGGCACTTGGCCAGATTTACGCCCCGCAATTAACGTTCTAATCGCCTCAATTTGTTTGGAGTGTCGGGGAGCGGGGTCGCAAAGCTGGTAGATAATCAGCCCCAACAACCTACAAGTCAATTGAAAGTGTCAACCTGCTTATACTGCTGGTGACGATGGGGAAATCTAACAATTAATTCGAGCTTGTGCATCAAATTAGTAAAATAATCTCTTTGATTCCGTTCGGAATAAGGAATTTTATTGAAGAGTTTCAGGATTTGTTGAAAAGAGTTTAGCGTTTCAACCACAGCAAATAATTAGGAGCTAAAATAATTTTGGCGTTTTTTCAGTAAGCTTATGTTGTTAACGAAAAAGTAGTAGTTTTGGTTCAGTATCCCAATGTCGACTTTTTTCAATCTATTGAAGGAAAACCGAATTATTCAAGACCATATATCAGTATCAATAAAATGAGAATTTCTAAAACAATTAGCAACCAAAACACTTACCAATTTTTGACTGTAATCGAAAGCAATGCATGTTTTTAATTTTCTTTTAATTTATGTTGAGTTATTTAAAGCGAAAAAGTAACGGAAATTAAAAAAATGTATTTTTTTGGTAATTTAGCTATGATATAAAATCTTTAAAGAGTTGAGTGAAAAGATCTGGGATTAATGAACCTCTCACAACATTGCAAACTTCAATAATTCGTAAGTAACACAGTGGCGCCTCCAACGCACAAAAGTGTTTCGACTTTAGAACTAAACTCTTTTTCTACATTTACTTTGCTTTTTCAATGTAAAATATTTCGTCCTCAGTGGCGCCATGTTGATGATGCGGAAACACTTATAAAATCGTTTGCGATAGATAGCGCCAGTGCTACATTTTAAGGAAATCAGATCCTTCAAATAATTAATAGACTTATTCTGTTGTAAGTGATAAAAATCGTAGTGGAGACTAAATAAAATAAAGTAATTTGTGTAATTTTTAAAATATTTATATAATATTTTCTGATGCTTTTATTAAGAAATTATTGTTCCTTTAGCATTATCAAGCTTATTTTTGTTAGGATCTCAATATCATAACTCAAATGGAAAAATAAATAATCAATTTATGATTTATATGGTATTTTAAGTAAACATAAAAGATTTATGTATAGGGACAATATTAAATCTCTTAAAATTTTGAGGAAAACGTTTAAGACGTTTTGCACTGTATAAATAGACGAACGGAATAAAGCCAAATTTACTTTTTAAATAAATCTTTTGTTTTTGTGTCAATCAAGTTTTAATTCTTAAAAAATTATTCTTAGTACACACAAACCAAAATACATTCTACAGCCATAACACAACCATAACCAAAGTAAAACCAAAAATAATCCCTTCCAACCAAACTCTTAACACCCAATTTCGGTAACAGAGCATTAACAGAGCTGTCCAACTGTCCATTAATTTCCCGACTGGCCTTTTGTAAACTCATTGCCGTTAAACAAATAAAAATAAACTAAGCATAAATACTTAAGAAGAGAATAAATGCCACGAGAAGAGTTTGTCCTTTGTTATGGGTCCACCAAACCGAACCAGCCCCTCGACAAAGGACAATTGACCTTTCGCCGCTTTCGGTCCTGGCGGGTTTTCCCTATTTTGGCCTACTTGATGCGTCTGCCTGCGTGTGTGTGGGTGGGTGAGTGGCTGGCTGGGCGATTGTGCTAAACTTTAAATTGTCCTATGCTACGTGCCCCGCATGCGGAGTTCATAAATCCAAGCGCTAAATGTAAACATCAACAGTTGCCCTGCTCTGTGGGCAGTAGCAATACTAGCAACACCAATAACAATAGCAGCAACAACAACAACCGTGGCAAAAACTTGCAAAGTTCAAACACAAACTAATGCAGCAGCAACAAAAGCCAAGCGAGCCACACCCACCACCGCCCCCACACACTACCACCAACTCTCTCCTTTTGGCCACTTTCACCGTTGTTTTTGTTGCCTTTCTCGCACGGGTTATATTGTTGTTGCTGGTGTCCTTAATGCGCGATGGGCAAAAGTGTGTGTGTGCACAAAGAAAAAACATTAGCAAAGTTGACAATAAATTTCGGTTATTAACTCTGCACTTCTTAACCGAAAATTATGCAGAAATCTTTGCTTTCTTCTTGGCACCACCAATTCATTTAAAAATCGTAAAGTACGGTTTAAATCTTGACATTAAACATTAAGTTATTATTTTCATAATAATAGTTGGTGGCGTCTAAGCCCATTTTAACTTTTAAAGCATTTTTAATCACTTACGACCGAAAGTAATTGGGGAAACTATCCATTTTATTGCGAGATACTTATTTTTGTATCCAAATTTAAATAACTTATCAAGTTATTTCACTCAATAATATTCAGATAAGATTATTTCAAAGCCAGTTTGAAGCTGATTTGTGTTTTTGGCGAGTGCATGTGTGTGTATAGGTGTTAGCCGTTTGGCTCTTGGCATGGCTAAAAGGAGAATCCTGCTCTGGCAGGTCCGGCCATGGCAGGCAAGTAAAATAAAATAAACTTGAGTTTTGTTTTCGTTTGTCGTATAAGCAATGGCTTAAAGCTTTGCTCCCACTTCCACTTCCACATCCACATCCATATCCACCCCTCATCCTTAACCCAAACGCATGCGGGCAGTGGTAATGACCTCCCCGCACACACACTAGTGCTTGTTGCACTTGCCAAGGGTTAAGTTCCGATAATTATGGATGCAAAAGTAGAGCACAAAAACGAAACTGGAAGTGAACAACAATCCACACAGCAGTGAATGTGTGGCACGCCACACTTAAAGTTGTTTACATTTTTTACTGCATTTGCTCATTTCCAATTGAGTTAAAATTTAATTGGCTTATCACCAGAACAATAGTTGAACAGCTTTACAAAACAATATTCTACCAAAAGTAAAGTTTTCACTTATTAATTTATACTCGCATTAAAGCGGCTTAAAAAAGTTATAATAATCATAATATCAATTATTTATATTAAAGGTTGGCAATTATTTTATCGTGTTCTCACAAAAAAATGCATAGAGCTCGTATACAAAAACTAAAGTGATTAAACAAGTATAAAAAGTATGTTCTTTTGTCATTTATTAATTAAATTGGAGATTTTGAAAGACAATTTAAATTTAAAACTATATACTTACAACATTACAAATTACATAAGTTTTTTGAAGGATATTTAAAAACTTGAATACATTACGGAACTATATTTATTTGACACCTGAATCCCATTATGGGTTTCCAATTGCTATACTACTTATATTTATTTATTAAAACATTAAAGTGCATTCCGCATTGAATCGTCTATGAAAATAAATGAAAATAAGCACTATCTAATCTACTGTGTGAATGGGTTAGATGAGTCTCGGTTCTTAAGTGCCAATTCAATGAATTACGACTCTATCTGATCTATAGATAAAGCGTCTGGTACAAAAACCTTTATAAGTGTTTTAAATCAAGTTAAACACTCGTTTTGTTTGTACAAATCGTATTAATATTGATTAGTTTCGTGAGTGCCTAACGGTCTAACCACCTGTTTCATGAACCGCTAAACTGAAAATACCACTGGCTATATACGCATTAGCTAAAAGTAATTATTATAAATTTGGAGTACAGAAACAATGCTCACAAGGGCATACCATTTTGCATTTTTTCATTATTAGAATATTTTTTAATTTCCATTATCATTTCGTTCATTTGTTTATTATTATTCTAAATTGTGTATTTTGCACTTTTCAGTCGATTCTATTTCGACACTTTTAAAGGCTACTAAAAATTCAATTTAAATTCGTTCTGGCCTGTTTTCATTCAGTCCATTCCACTTCTAATTGAGTGCTGGCCCACAGACATTTCAAATTCCTTTGTCTTCGATTGCAATTGAATAATCAACCTAACAGGTGTCCACACCCTGTGATAGTGTCCTCATTGTGCCCAACTATTTATGACTGTGTCTGCGATTTGTTCGGAAATCCATTTGGAATTCCCCCGTGCGCAAACAATCCAAGGACGGCGGTGAAAGGAAATCTCCGCCTAATTTAGACAGTGTTTAAAGTAAATATGCAAACAGACCGCTAAATTGGCATATAGCAAACAAAAATCGAAGCTACAATGCAGCGTGGAGGTGGGCAAGAAAAACAAAGGCAAGGACACACGTGTAAATTGAGTACACTTGAACCTGAAGTTGATTGTTGTTGCCTGTTACTTCTATTGGCACTTGACAAACATAAATAATCAAATATTTCACAAAACGACAAAAATGATTGGCAAATGTGGGGTGGAAAAAAGAGCGGGATGTATGCCACTTCCTCGGTCAAATGGATAATCTTATCGCCGAGCCCCATTTCCTCCTTATTAAATTAATTGAAAGGCAAATAGGAAAAGAAGAGCCCATGGTTTGGGATTAGGCTATCTGTATCTGCCATGCCGACCGCTTATCATTTGCACTCGTTCAGCAAGAAATACCTGTTGTTGCAGTTGCTGCCTTGTGCCGTGTGTCGCATGTTGCTGCAACATGTTGCTCGCGTGCACATCGGCTTTTTGGCTTTGGCACTCGGCTCGGGTGCTCGGCTCCCATTCGCTGGCTTAACATTGCTGTTAGGGAAACGACGATTTAACATTTCTGATTGGGAAACGACGCTGGCCCTCTTTTTCCGTTCAAATTCAAATTCACCGTTTCGCCGTTCGGACGTAGTTTGCCCGCTGCGGCTTGAATTTTGCTGCCAACAAAAACGTTGGACCTTGTCGTGAAAAGTAAATAAAACGAAGCGACTGAACCAATCATTTTGCTGGGGATCTTGCCACTATTGTTGCATTTGGTCAGTCGCTATTGAGTTCTTCAAAAGTTTTGGTTCTTAAACTCGTCCGGCCAAAAACACGGCGCGCTTGCTCCGCTCAGGTCCGCTCCGATTCGCACTCGCATTCGCATTCGCCCCGCTCCGTTTCGATCCATAACGCTCGTCGACGGGCGCCCACTGCAATTGTCGTTCGAAAGTGTCTCGCTCGGCCGATCCAGCGGCGATCCGATCCGATTCGAAACAAGTAACCAAATCAACCAAATTGAGACCAAAAGCGGTTCGAAAAATGTATAAATAAACAAAGAGAAAACCGGCTCTTGAATTTGCACAGGGCGACGATCTCGCACGCAATATCGCCATCGAGAGGCTCGTCCGACTGCATTCTTGCCATCACGTGCAGACCGAGCCACGCCCCTTCGCCGCCCCCTAGCCACTTTCAAGGCGAAATTTGCACTGAGAAAATATCTGAGGTTTCCCAGCGATCAATTCATTTCTTATTGCATTTTTAATTGTGCGCTAATTTTTAGTTTCACAAGTTTTGCAGAATGTAGAAAATTTTAATATTTAAAAATTTATATTATTTAGATTTGTTTGCACTATTAGAAAAAAACATATACAAATTTTCATCTTAACCTAATCGCTTAAACTAATTTATAATATTATTGTTTATTTTGTAGGCTTCAAATTACTACTTTGAGTAAGAATCAGAAAGACAAAGTCTTTTTGTTTAAATTTGTGTTTTGATGCTCTTCTAGTTCTAGTGTTGTGAATTATTAATATTTAATTTAAAATAAATGCAATAGGGGCTAAGACTATCCCTCCATCTTCTTGATTTTGCTCCAAATATATCTGGTTTTTCTCTTTGTTTTTGATTGAAATTCACTTTTAAAACCCGCAAATTTACAGTTCTTTGTGCATTCTTCCTCCTCCGTTAAGTGTTTTGTTTTCGATATTCAATTGAACGGACTCAGCGCTCGGGAAACAGCTGCGTAAAGACAGGCGTAAATTGGCGGCGATTTCAATAGAAAACGGTGCAGACAGCTTAAGTGCTACCTGCTTACTTGTGATTGCAACTTACAAATTAAAAATGCAAAACTATGCACATGTAAATATTCGAAAAACTGACCTTTGGCCGTTTTCTTTATGTAATCCCATTGAATTACCTACGTTGTGTATGCAGCAGCGAAAACCTTTCGATGTGTTTACTTTTTATATTGCTTTCATCTGGCACAAAACCCTGACCTGTACCAATTCCATTCGGGTCTCATATTTTTCTTCAATCATTTGAACGTCAACAAAGGCCGAGAAATCGTTGAGAGGCCTTTGAAAGTGTTTGCTATGTGTTTATTTGCCTATCGTTTATTTATAAGCATCAAATGCATCTGTCCGAGTGCTGTTCACCGCTCAATATTTATTTATATATACATATAGCAGTTAAAACATAAATGGCCACAAAACATAATCGAAAGTATAAACAATTTACCTCGTCAAAAGCATGAAATTCAAGAGCACATTGAACTAGTTTTTTCCCTTCTTTTGCTTTTGTGTGTCTCTTTTTTCAGGCAAATAGGGGAGAAAAGAAACAGATCGGACATATTAATAATCCGAGTGAATTGCAAATTTTCTGTGATGATTTTTTTTCTGGCTGAGAGTCTTAAAATATTCTATTTATAATGGATAAATATATAAATTGCAAATTTAGAAATACATAAATTATATATGCACTTTGTTTCTAGAGCTAAAGAATATTTTATTTTTAAGCAAACATAACTTTGTCAAAAGGCTTTCAAATTATCTTATTTATTAGTTTAAATAAAAATCAAAAGTGAATGTGAAAAGCATTGAAATATGACTTTTATTTTGAGAATATATGTATATTTTTATTCCGTATATGCAAACCCCTTTAAATGCTTTTATTTGGTATTTGGTATTTTAATTATTTCAAATCTAATTTATCTTAATAGGGAGTTTAAATAACTTTTGTCGAAGCTAAAAACAACTTAAATTAGTTTGTCCCAGTGTTTTGTGTTCTCAAACTATACTTTGACCTGTCCACGCCACATTTGCAACAATAATTGGCAAAACGAAAATAAAAATAAAAGCACCTACAGCAAGAAAAATATTAGAAGGAACCCCAAGTGAAACAAAACGAATCCAACCCAAAATTAAAACAAGACAGCCTCTGACGCTTTGCTTTCGCTTTTCTGTTCATCGCAGACATCAAACTATTTTTAGATCAATTTTTTCTTTCGGTTGGTCGTGATTTTTTTTTGCGCTTTATTTTGCAGCTTTTATTTGCAAGCGTAAATCCTATTTTACTGCGACTTGATCGGCCATAAATAAGTTAACACACAAGTGGGCGGACAGTGTATGAAACTATTAAAAATTGCTAAGGCCTGTAATTTGCCATTAACATATGCATTTTATAATTGTCATGATTTAATATTTTTTCCATTGGTTCATTTTTCAGCCAAACCAGTTACAGGCACTTAACTGCAATTGCAAACAATTGCATTCTATAAAGCAACAGACGTAGAAGGAACGTGAGAAAATGCTTCAGTTTTGGGATAGGAACTGGGGCTGGACTCTACTGTTGTTCTCGGGTGAGTAGATAGATATGTAAACGGACTTCGGGTTATCTTCCATATCAAATCTGACACGATCTGTCCGAATTCCCGTTTAGATAGCAGAAGAAAAGTTGGTCGAAAAATTTATGAAATGCCAATTTCACTTACGTTTAACTTTATTACCCCTGACGCACATTTGCAACTTTGTTGCAACTGACTGGCTGCTGCTGCTGTTGCTGCTGCTCCAGCTTTTGGCGAAGAGTCTCAGATTGCCTTTTAGCTTTCAGCTTGAGCACTATTTCAATGTTTCTGTTTGTTTGTTTATTTGTCTCTCACCCACTCCACGCCCTGTTCTCGGATTTCCAGCCCTGCTCCTACTCTCGGTGGCAAGTTCGGAGGAATGCGGTCAGGAGGAGTTCTCCAAGTGCGCCGAACCACTTGATATGCTGCGTTTAACGTCGAACTTCACGATTGGCCCGGCCAAGCGGGAGGAATTGGAGGAACTTTGTCAGTAAGTGGCTCCATGGAAAAATTCCCAAGTCGATCTGGACGCTCTTGATTCAACTCCCAAACGCAATCTGTTGAGCACAGCATATAAGTGTTCTATGTACTGTGTAGATCGATTTGATGATTTTTGCATATATCTTGCTGAAAGAATATTAGAATTGTATTTGCTGGTTGCGTTTCAGTTATTACACGATTTTGTTTTTCATCAATTCCAGGGTGTACCTAGGTACCTATACCTAGTTACGTACCTAACTAAGTGCACCCTAACTTGGTCTAGATTTTCATTTACCTTAAGAAAAAGCTATGTTACGTATTTAGCTTGATAGCTTTAAATTTTGTATTTTTTCGGATATATATGCCAACTTAAAAGATAAGATTATTCCGCCGCAAGTGCAAGATATATCATTGTTTTTTTTTACATGTTTCTAAAATCATTTATAAAAATGTTTATTCTATTCTCGCAGTGAGCTGCGCAAGGGAGTGAGGTGCATCCAGAGCTACACCCGCCGTTGCATGGATCTGCAGCAGAGAAATCAGTTCAACAAGCTCTACCATGGAACCAACCAGCTCATCAGGGATCTGTGCAACAAGGGCAAGTTCCAGGATGAGTACCTCAAGCACGTTCGTTGCTCCGCAAAGGCAAAAGACGAACTTGAGGTGTGCTCGAATCGTTACAAGGAGACCATGGTGTTCCTGAAGCCGAACAAAAATCAGGAGAACTCTGAGAATGGAACCCTCAATGACAACATTAAAACCATTTGCTGGTAGGTTGAAAACTATGAAACTTTAAATCGTTTGACCTAAATTAATATAAAATTATATTGAAGAGAAGAGATATTGTGAAGAAAATTTATAAATTCAATTTATTTATATAAATATTATTTTAGCTCCATCAAAGAACTTGTAGATTGTTCAGAAAATGCTGCCCGAAAGATTTGCGGCGATGAGGCCGCCAAGTTCACGCGCGAACTGGTCGACAAATATGCGAACAGCCTGACCAAGGTAAGCCAAGGACACCAATTTTTATGGGAAATTTTGATTAATTTATTTTACAGATCTACTGCATGGACTTCAACCGAAAACCGGGCAGCTGCCGGGACTACGAGGGCAATGGCTCTAGTCGATTATGTCCGTGGATGGGCAGTTTAAGCCTTCTTCTAGCAGGGACATTACTCACACTGCTGGTCAGCAGAGGCAACAGATAGATGGAAGAACTGCAGCTAAGTGCAAATATCTAGAACCAGTCTTACCAAAACGGAAATATGCTCCGCAAAAGAGGAGAGAAGAAGCAGAAATAGTTAAGGTTTCCCCCATCACACCGAAAGAATTCCACACGCTGTTGCATAGTTTTGGCAATCAGTTTAGGCCACACAAATCCATAGAAAAATCCCTGAGAAATCGAAGGAGTCAGCTATAAAGTAAAGTACATGTTAAGTATGTTATGTATACCAGCATGCATATATATATATATATATAGTGGGGATCGCAGAGGAGAGCAGTGTCAAGCATCGCTAAGATCGTATATATACGGATATGTATGTTACTATATAAAGGATATAGGCTAGCTAGTTAGAATCAGTGTTGAGTGTGGCAGGCAGGTTAGTTGTTGTTGGCCTTACTTTCCAATCGTCGTCGATCGTGCAATACTAGAGTTTCGTTGAGTTTGTTGCAGTTGTCCAGGCTTTAATTGTAGGCATATTTTAGATAATACCCTTAAGTTTCACAAATCGTTGTTAGCTGAGGTTAGAACGCGCCCCTACCCACCATTGTTTTCGTTTAACACTGGCAATACCAACAAAAAATACTGAGCTGGAAGTAAGTAAGTGTCCCCAAAGGATAAGGAAGTGCTGAATCCGAATTTGGCCATATCAGCCCATCAACGTCTATTAGGAACACATACCCCCGCATCCCAGTATATTTGCATATGTCAATTTTTGTTACCCAGTGCAATCAGACACGCACACACACCTCTAAGCGCACAAGAAATAGTCCCTCGTGGACTTGCTCACATATCGGCAATAACTTTACACATACTAAAAGTGCATTTCTATGAATGAGGATTTTATAAATTATTATAAACTTATTTAGTGGATAGCGTATATTTATTTAAAACACTGTAAATACCTTTAAAAATATTCAAATTCGGAAATATGCATACAAAAAAATATTAGTTTTACTTAAAACACACACACACACACAAACCTACTTACAAAAACTGTGAATATATATTATGATTAAAGAGTAACATTTATTTTAAGTAAAACACACATGCATATGCAAGGAAAAACAATAAAAAACGAGAAAATAAATTAAAGCAAAAAAAGTGTGAGAAGAGTGGCGAAATAAAAGAGAAAACGGACACGATGAGGAGGGATAAATTTCGAAACCGCCGGTTGAAATACCCTACATGTTGCACCAAAAAAATCATATCCTTTGGGTCTTGCTGTTAATGGTTTTGGCTATGTTGACCGGTTGACTTAATTCATATTGCAATCCCTTGAATTTGTCTAGTCCGAGCTGATCAATTATAGATTGGGCATTCTATATTTATTTCAATTGATTTATATAAAATTGTTGGGTCTTGTTTATTTCACCTAATGTTATAGTGATTGTGGAACTGAGTCATTAGTACATTTATATTAGAGGGCACACACTATAAATAATCCATAACTATACTATACATTAATCATTTCTTTACTTATGTGCAAAAATTGTACATACCTTACTTTGAGAGGGTATAAAAAGCGAACGAGTGCCCTGCCAAAAATGCTTTTTACTGCAGGATAAAACCGAGCGCAGCCAAAAAGTATGCAACGCGCCCTGTCCGGCGCCCAAAAGTATGCTGCGCAAATATGCCAACTCTGGTCGCCGTTTACCAGAAGGGTTACGGTAAGGGGCAACGAGAGGGGGTCACAGAAGGGGTTACGCGAAGGGTTCGCCACCATGGGGCTGGCCATAATTTATGTTTATGTGGTGCGTTCATTAGACTAGCGGCGTCGACGGTTGACTTCTCGCCTGGCAGCTAATTTATAAGGTCGGCACATGGCTCAAGGACATACGTGGGGCCAAGAGGCAAAGGCAGTGCCGGTTGGGTGCAATAATTACAGTTATCGCACTTGGCCAGCGGCCGAATTTGCGTTTGACACTCGCAATCACGGACGGACATGGTTTCACCGGGATTCGGCAATGAATTGTGAGTGGTTAACCTAGTCATCATAAGAAGATTAAATACCTGATTGAGTGTAAAACAATTTTATGGTTCTTAATATCTTAATTGGTAGTCGACGAATTTGTTCTTTAAAACCGGGCTCAGCTCAAAAGTGTTCACATATGAAAGTTTATTTTTAATCTACTCAGTGCTTAGCCAATATGTTTCGGGTACGATTACCTTATCTTCCAATTGGTCAATTTGCCTTTTGACTATTTCTACAAATTTAATTGCATAAATATCGATATTTAGAACTGTGTACAATTTTTGAAACGTTATTTCGCAATGGACAAATTGCTTGGCAACTTAAAAATCGTTCCCTTTGATGTCTCCACTCGTTTTCTTTTTCAATAAAAATGTATTGACATCGCAATCACATCTCGGAATTGCATTTTATAAGAGACGATGTGAGGCGTATTTGGTCTCTGGACCGAATGCTTAACCAATCAATAACTGAGTTAAGAGGGGAAGTGACTGAGCTGGGGCCCAGGTATCTATCAGGTATCTCGATTGCAGCTCAAATATTTACGTTTCCATTTAGAGTGGGCAGGGATCCGAAACTCACAGCTCCCGTGGGTCATTTTCAGCTTCATTTGTTGTGCAAATAGGCGAAATGCATTGCCATTGAGCACCGCACCTCGTTTAAATTTGAAGTCATAGTTTGCGTCTTGAGCAAACGATTCAAGAGCGTATTCTTTGCTGCGGTAAAAGCCGTTTGGTCCCTGGATTCCATTCGTACCGTTTTTTTAGTTCTTAATTAATTGAAAATATCTTTGTGCAGCTGGTTGGAGTGGTAGGATGGCAAACAAATTGACAGCCAGTTGCAGCTCGCATTCATACGGCAAGTGTCGAGTGGCCCTTTCATTTTGCACTCGTCCTGCTCCTGCCGGCAATCCCTTATCCAGCTTTCATTTATCTACCACCCACATCCCAGCAGCTCTTTCACTCATGTTTAATCCTCTTTAAGCGGCAACAGAACGATTACATTTTGATTTTGTTTTCTGCTTTTGTTGCATCCCTTTGGCTGCCGCTTGCTTTTGTTTTTATTTGCACATTTCCGCTGCGACTAATCTGCAATTATGTTTTACATAGAAATCCTATCGCGTCCCGAACAACAACGTAGTGCGAACGAAAAGTTTTCAACCATTTGGTCCAGGCTTGATGGCTTGTCCTGCTGAGATAGTTGGGAAATATAAATATTAAAGAACAGCAACACCAGCGACAACAAGAGAGAACGGAGCGAATTCACGGCGGAAGCTTTGCCTGGGCCAACGTTGCGTATGCGTATTAAATTCTCTAAATACATCCAATCGAAGCGAAAGAAAATAATTTGAGTATATGGAGATTTTCGACTATAGTAAAAAAAATATAAATATAAAATATAAAATTAAGCTAAGCAAAACAACATGAAAATAAATAACAAAAATAACTAACAGATGCAATGTGCTATGAAATTTATGCTCTTTATAAAATTCCACGATAGCTGAGAGTAATTTATATTCAAATATACAAAGGTAAAAAAAAATTATTAAAGCATCAAACGTACAAAATTATAATGAGAATACCAGTGTATTGGAGGGATTCAAAGTTGTACCCGCAAATGCATGTTCAAAATGCATTGACAATTTTAAAATTTATTAACTACATAATGCTGATGTTGTCCAGAAGCTCAGTCACAAAATTATTAAAATCTGTTTAATTAAAGTGAATCAAAACTTAAACTAAAATCACAACAATTCTGGGCTACGAAACAATTAACGGAGCTCAAACTCAAGTTGAGCGTATTAGTTTTTGAACTTGCAGCTAAGACCGCTACTGCTGTTTTGACCAAGCTGCTTAGCTACTGAGAATATTTAATAGCTGCAGACAAGCTCAAGAGCTCGGACTGGAAATCCGAACCCCACTTTGAGTATTCGATGCATTAAGAAGCATTTACGTTTTGTTGCTCTTGCTCCCACATCATATTCACTTTGAGTTATTTTCGTTCCTATTTCAATTGCAAGTCACTTGGAGAGATTAAATGGGCAACTTGCCCCTATAACTCCCAAACCCAGGACCGCTAAAACCTCCATAGCTAACCCCTTCCGGCCAGGACATCCTGATGGCCATAAATGCGCTTGTGGTTTATAGGTGGTTGGCCAAGAGCTGGAACTGCAGGTGGGTGAGTGGATGGGTGGGGGCTTCTGGTGCCCAGCTATGTCAGCTGTTGGCCAGCTGGCTGGGCTCTCGAATGCATTTCGTACATGATAATCATGTTGGTTGCTGCAAGTTGCATCTTGCATCTGCAGCATGCGTTGCATTTGCAATTCCTGGCTGCATGGCCGTGGCCCATGGCCGATGGTCTATGGTCGATGGGCCTGTCTAGCTAAGCTTGCTGTGGCTTGTCGTGGTGTGGTTTATGGCAACATCTTGTCCAATTTATTACCACTTTCATTTGGTAGCACAATAGGCAATGCACTCGCACGCACACACAAATGCACTCCGAGGAAATCTAACGAAATCCAAATTAAATCAAGATATCCCAGACAACATTGTCAATAAGTATTACAAAAATGTATAAGAAAAACCCTTTTGTAAAAATGAATTACTCTCTCATATGACGTTAAAAAGTGAGTTTTATTTATCACAAAAACTAGAAAAAATGGTTACTCCTAACACCAAGTAGTGAATATTATTTTGTGGCAATAATCTCTTTAATTGCTAAGAGATTAAATTACTCATATTTTTTTCGCGTGTACTAGGCGCACTTGTGGCGAATGTTACCAGCCTGCCAGCATACACATAACACATATCTATAACACGTAGCACTCAAAAATACTCAAACATTGAAATTGGAGTTCTAGTTTTTGGTTCTCGTCTCGTTTCTGCTTCATCAGTTACATGCTTTGAATAATTCAAGCGTATTTAAGGCCATTCCAGGCCAAAAGTTGTGCGCCTTGTCAACCCCTTCTTATCCAGACACATTTGTTCGGACTGAAAGTTATTAAATTATTTTTAAATCACCCTATCTACTGCACTCCGATGCCACAAAGACAGGCCTCTTGGTTTTTGTGAAAAATTTCAAGCTTACCACTCTATAGAAATTGTTGAAAAACTGCAATTAAGGCATTCTAAGCGAACTGGATTAGCATAATTCTCTGGGTCTAGGCTCGGTAGCCTCATTGCTGCTCTTCTGACACATGGCGTATACGCTTCCTCGGTCACATTACGTATACGCAATGGTTAACGCCAGCCATTTGTGCTGCATATCCCCAGGCGCCGCTGGCAAAAATATGAGACCAGGCACAGATTTCTCTCACTCTGGCGAGACTGCTAAAAAACAAAACTCAAGTGTTGAGCAAAACCACACCGCGCACCGCCGCCCCTTTTGTGTCTTTTGTGGCCTTTCGCTGTTTGTCAACAGCAACGGCAGCCAACACTTGAGGGGGCGTGTCAGGCGTGTAGGCGCTTTTTAATTGCACTGAAAACAAAACGCTAAACACTTGTTGGCTGCCTGGATGGCTGGCTGCCTTCCAGCTAGTTGTCTGTCGCGTGGCAAACGGCGGGGTGTCATCAAAACTCTCCAAACAGAAAAAGCCCTGCCACCGCCTCCAGCGGCAATTTGTGTTACAGTTGCTGATGTTGCCGCTGCCACTGCCAATGTTGCTGCTGCTGCTGCTGCTGGTGTTGCTGCTGTTGCTTTGATTGTGAGCCATAACTGCGAGGGAGCTTCTATGCAACGCCATTGTGTCCCTTTTTTTCGCCGACATTGCTGAAGTTTCGCTTTGATCGCATTGTAACATTTTGCGACAGTTTTAGATTGTAATGGGCTCCATGGGAGAGATGAGAATAAGAACGACTTTGAATTGGATCTGAGATTGCAAGTTTAACTGGGTAATAGCACAGTACACAAATTGATAACAGTTTCGATAAAACTAGTAAAAGATGCAACACGGTATGTACCAAACAACTTTCACACAACACAGCTATCGATGAAAACATGAATAAAATTTTACATAAAAACACAGAAAAGAACCCGAGTTAAAAAAAGGTTTATCGTTCAGTAGTTGCTAATGTTCTTATGCTTTTGAGATTTTATTAAATTACTTTAGAAATATACAAATTTAAAGCTAATGTTTTATTTATTTAATTATCTAGACTACGAAGAAAAATATCGGTAAAAACAGCTGTTAAGCCCACGAAAATAGTGTTATTATTTATTTATAAATTTTCCAAGCTTGAATTAAAGCAAAATAAAATGTTATAGATTTGTGAGAGGCTAATAAAGTTAAAATAAAATCCAATGAGTGCTTTACAGCTACATGGTCTAATTTTAATGTATTACATTTTATCCATATTGAAAATTAGATGAAGGCAATTATTTTATTTCGTTTAAATTAGTTAGTTGAAGTAATCTCCAACCAAGGATTAAAATTAAAACATTAATTCTACGTCAAAACCAAACGCATGCATTATTCAAGAAATAATCTGATTTTGAAATTGCACACATTTTATGGTGAATTTACATCAAATTGCATTAACAACATATATAACCCTTTTAGTGTATTTGTATTTTGCATCCCCTAGACGTTTGATTGACTTGCCCAAATGATTGCCACATTTAATTACCCGGTTCGATCAGATAATGCAGTTAATTTTCAATTTTACTTTTTCTGTACGAGCACTTTCCTGTGGAGTTCGATTTATTGTTCGCTTCATTGGGACAACATGTTTAATTAACGAACACAACGGAAGAGAGTGGCAACAACAAGAGTTTGTCACTGACATTCGGTAAAATTTCTGACTCTCTGGTGACATTTGAAAAGTTTAAAATAATATAATTTTCGACGCTATATGGCAAACTAACAAGTTCGACTCGGAAGCTCAGGGCCGGGGATCAGAGATGGGGGTTGTTTTTGGGGAGTTTGTCTTAGCTAACTTTTCGCCCGGGAAAGGAGAAACTTTTTCGGCTGCACTGTGTTGCACCTACCCACCCACACACACACACGAAGATCTATTGTAAAATATGTAAGAAAGTTTCCTCAGCTTGGCTGGGAAAACGCTGCGTTTTTGGAAAAGGCAGCAGCAGCAGCAGCAGCAGCAGCATCGACGTTGTCTTTGGGGAAATTAAACATTTTCTATTTGAAAAACTTTGCCGTGTGGGGAGGCGGGATTTCGAGCGGTGGATTTTCCTAAGGTTCAAGAGCAACAGTTGCCTTTTGAACTGTTTCGGGTCACACTTTGGCATTACGTTAGTTCCCTTTGTTCCATCAACAATTGCGGAAGTCATAATTTTTGCGCTGGCCAAGTTTTCGCTTTTTTGACAAATTTAGCAGCAAATTGCCAGCAGAACTTTAGTGTGAGCATTCAACCATGCCCGCCAGCAACGGGATTGGAGTGGAGTGTAATGGAATGGGCTCGTGCCGTTGGATCTAAATGTCAAGCGGCTTGCTGTCATAGGTGTTGCATATTTAATGCGCCGACGCCGATGGCAACACCAGAAACAAGAGGAGCAGCCCCAGCACAGCGATTCAGACAAGTGCACCCAGAGTGCATGCAAATATTTTTGTCAACGATTGTTTTGCCCGATCCCTCGATTCCGAATGGCGAGCTGTGACTGCGGAAGGTTCCTGGGGATGGGCGGTAAAAGTCCGGGAAAAGCGGGTCAGGGAGAAGGGAACAAGGACTGGGCACCCTGTTGTTGTCAACGGTTTGAGTAATTGCCGCTGGTGTGAAAATTGGCAACGATGCCATCGAGCTGGAAAAGGATTTACTGTGTTATGTATGAGCCAAAGGCTGATTGAGATGGAGGAGCAGCTGGATCGAGCTCCAAATGGCCATCGATGGATGTCTATGGCATCAGCAATGTTGCCCGGACTAAAATAGTCATTAACCTAGTAAATAAGCTAATCTAGGTCATATCCAAAATAGGGCGTTTACATTGTAAAATCTTATTCAAAATAATAGAATTAAGAACTTGTGAAACACAGAGAAAGTATATATTTTAAGTTACTTTAAATATGAATATATTAAACATTTTGTAAATGTTTCATTTAACTATTTTCGGATTTTATTCGTATATATGTAAGACAAATTTAAATTTAAAAATAATAACTGAACTTTTTATAATAATTATTTTCACACTAAGTAACATATTTTAATGTTAATTTATGCATTATATGTCTTTGACTTAAAAAAAAATGTTATATTGGTGACCTTAACTTGTTTTAACATTAGCGATAGCACTTCAAAACACATTTTGCAACAAATATCATTAATTGGAAGTACATCGATACTCTTATTACCAAAACACTAATACAATCAAACCCTCATTTAACGAAAGATCTTTTCCTGATTTTGCACAAATAAAATCAATTAAATTGAGCTGTAAAAACGCCAAAACAATAATTGATTAAAAAAACAGCCAAACAGATGATTTTTTACCACAGCCTGGAAAAAACTTAGTTCCAGGGGCAAATTGAAAACACGTTTTCCCGCTGAAGCAAGCAAAAACCCCATAAAAAAGGTGATAAAAAAGCCGACATCGAAAAATGATTTTCACATTGATGAAAATTAAATGCGAGTCGGGGCTTGCCCCGATGCGATGTGTTGCATCTGTTGGGGCATTATCAAATAATTCAGTTGTAATCTATTTTAATCCGCCGGCGTGGCCTGCCGAGCCACCCCACTTGACATGGCGAATCATCAAATTGTTTGTTTGCTTGGCCTCTGCCACCACCCATTTTCCACCAATAACTCGTTACCAACATCCCGATACGAAACTATTTATTTCGACATTTTGCTAAACATTGCCCAGATTTAAATTTCCATTCATGTAAAATCGCATAAATACGTACAAATGTCGTTTGATGGATATGCCCAGCTATATTACAGTCCCCCACTTTTTTTTTACATCCAGGGAATTATTCAAATAATTTAAGCGGCTTAGTGTAATGGCTGGTGAAATTTTTGTTGCCAAGAGGGGAAAGGAGTTAAAGCAGCTCTAAGCGGAAAGACGCGGTTGCTTAAATTATACAGTATAATTTGGGAATATAGATTACCATTTGCATGAAAAGGCAACTGCATAAATAATTATTTGAGTTTATATTCAATCGATTGGTTAGAAGCCTTTTATCCCCAGAAATGTCAATACGGCTTAAACAAAACGTTTCTCTTTCTAACTGCACATGTTTGTTAGATAGCAAACAAAAATTGACGTTTAACCATTACCCGATTCAATGATCTAGCTTTTTTTTTTATATTGGAAAGCACTAAGGGATACTTTTCCATCCTTTAAACATAACTTTTAAGCTATTTTTGAGAATAACTAAATGGATCTGCTCTATAATCAGTTGCAAAAATGTAATGCATATTGCAGAAGTACAACACATGTTTGAAAATGTACTTCCTTAGTGGGGGGTCTTTATTTATATAAACAATAACCCATTTCCCTATCTTAACTGAACACAAAACCTATTCAATATTTCTTAATGCTATAATATAAATTTCTTTATTTTACATATTCATTAAAAGATAAATTAAAACAAAATTCCAAAGCAAATGATGGATGAGTTCTTTGATAATTACCCATGGCTGGCTCATTGCATTTTGAATCGCATATAACGCGAAACCTATTTCGTGCTGAAGTCAGTTCAGGAAAATGATCCGCACCCTGATCCTGCTCCAATTTGTGGCTCTGCCTTGCCTGGTTTTCGGAGAACATCGAATAATAGGTGGTAACACAAAAAATATTAGGGTTGTCCCATGGTTTGGTTCGCTTATAGCCAAATCTAAGCTAAAATGCAGCGGAGTATTGGTCAAGAATAATTACTTTCTGACGGCTGCCAAGTGTGTGGCTGGCTATAAATTGAGTGATCTAAAAGTAAGGTTAGGCACCAGCAGCTGCCAGTCAGGCGGCTTTAAGGTGGGAGTCTGCAAGGTGAAAATACATCCCCAGTACTCCGCTTGGCGCTTCGACAACAATCTGGCCCTGTTGAGAACCTGCGAGTCACTTGCCACCACCCGTCAAATAAAGGCCATCGAAAGGGCCGACAAGGTTCCGCAGGACCATTCTCGAGCTAATCTCACGGGATGTGGCGCCAGGCGGGGAAATTGGTATGACATTGCTAAAGGCAGGACGTTTGACGAGATTCTCGATGCGTTAAACGACATGTTTCTCGATCTGCCTACGCAATTGCACAGCACTGAGTTGCGTATCCGTAACCAAAATCAGTGCGCATCAGACTGGAGATCATTTGGATCTTATCGGCTTAAAGGAATCTCTCACTTGACCATCTGTACCAAGACATCACGCAAGGGAGCCTGCGTCTATGATATGGGGGCACCTTTGGTGGTCGACAATAAACTCGTGGGCATCCTGTCCACGTCTGGCTGTTCCTTCAAACCCGATGTGTACTCGAATCTCATCAAGCACAAGACCTGGTTCGATGATAATACCAAGGAGTAACTAGGATCTACATAAGTTAGAACAATTTCTAAGCTTAAGGCTTAATAATCTATTCCATATATCAAATTGTAATTATTTAAGGGGTCGGAATATTTGTTTACAAACACAACTAAACTGTTTGACATTTAGAAAATACAATTTGGTAACTTTTGTATTAAAAATATTCAGTAATTATGAAAAATAAACAACCATTTTTCTGATTTTGTTTTTCGGTGACCAAAATTCTTCACCCAAAAAAAAAAAATTGAAATTTTAGTTTAAGTAAGTGTATCTTTAAATTAGTATACAGGCAGTAATTTAAACATCAAGGTTAATGTGTAAGATCCCAGAATAAAAAAAACTTTGCGCATTAGAAGTGCAACGAATATAAGATCAATTTAGTAAGCCTCAAGTCGATTTCTGCCATATCTTATAAATTGTAGCGGCCATTCACTATAGAACTTAAATTACTAAAATGATCCAGCCAGCTTGTATACTTTTTCTATGGATCCTTCCCTGGTTGGCAACTGCTCAGCTCGACAGCTGTGGGATCATGGGCAACGTGACAATGGCGGAGGATGCGCCATGGCAGGCATCAATTCAGTCTGATGGCAACCACATTTGCAGCGGTGCTATCCTCAGCACCAAGTACATAGTCACGACCTCGGATTGCGCATCAAAGAGTCCACTGTCTAACCTAAAGGTCGTCGTAGGCAATTCCATTCGGTTCTCGGAGTCCGGAACTGTAGCGGGGGTTTGCAAAGTGACCATCCACCCCCAGTCTGCCAAGAAAAAGTACGCCAGCAATTTGGCGCTGTTGAACCTGTGCGAGCCACTGAAACCCTCGAACAAGATCAAGGAAATCCAGCTTATCGACAAGCAGCCCGATCTGCTGGCTAAAGCCACAACTTCCGGCTTTGGCGCCCTCGGATGGTGGGGCTTGACAAAAAAAAAATGTTGGTCCGTTTCATCGGCGGTCCTGCGAAAACGAGATGTCAAGCTCTACGACGTAAAGGCATGCATCGCTGAACGAATTGGTTGGTTTGGTAAGGCCTCTGGCATCACGGATCAGAACATTTGCGCCGCCAACCAGGATAAGGGCTGCTCCTTCGACAAGGGTTCTCCGCTGGTCATCGATGGCAAGTTGGCGGGCGTATTGGCACTGGGCGATTGTTCCAAGAAGCCCGATGTCTTTGTCAATTTGTTCCATCACACCAACTGGATAAAAGATAATACTAAGGACAATTAATGGACAAACATCAATGGGTTCATAGCCATCTTGTTACGTGAGACTATTGTACACAAGTCTATGAAATATATTTATTAGTGATTATAAGCTAATCTTTTAGGGGGGATGCACAATGAGTTAAAATCTATTAAAATTTTACAAACAACCAAGTACAAATTTAAAGTAAAAGAACTTTACTAATTGACATTTTGCAAAGTAAGCGTATAAAATGCAATAGTTAAGGCATATAAAACCGTGTAGTATAACAGATTGATGACACGTTTAAAAAACCGTTTCGCTATGTTACTATATAAACTGCAACCTTGGTGTAGCCAATTTCATTTGCGATAATGATTCTAACAGCTCTACCACTCTTCTTAGGATTGTTTTTCAGTGACCAAAATTCTTCATCCAAAAAAAATTTAAAATTTTAGTTTAAGAAAGTGTATCTTTACATTAATATACAGGCAGTATTAAAGTAAAAGTAATAAGTTAGTACACAGAGAAAATTCTGACGTTCAGAAATTGAGACTTTGAATTCTCAACTTGAGGATATACTCATTTTGAGTACTGATTTTGCCCAAAAACTCACATTAAGAATATTTGTACTCATTTTAAGAAAAAATACTTAAACTGAGGATATATTCTGTATTTGAGAAAAAATTTCTAATAATGAGGCAAAACGTTCTTAAAATCCGTGGTCTAGCGGTCTGAGATGTCCGGACCAGGATGCCAACACCCAAGGTTTTGAGGTTCCGAGTTCACTTCGAGTTGTGTGATTCTTTTTATACCCTTGCAGAGGGTATTATACCTAGTCACTCAGTTTCAAAGCTATCTGCATGAAACTTTCCCAAAAGTTGTCTTTCTATTGCAGGTAGTATATAAATCGGAACGAGCCGGATCGGAAGACTATAGCATATAGCTCCCATAGGAATAATCATTAAAATAAATTTAAAAAAATTATAACTTTGGTGTTTTTTAATTTTTTTTTTTAGTTCTTCGAGATATAGTAATGGTTAAATGTTTCAGAATTACTGAGAAGTTAGAGCGTGCGTGGACGATTAGTTAGGTCTTACATCTAAAATGCGAAAGGTTCCGGGTTCAATTCTCAGTCGAGGTTTTCATAAAAATATTTCGTAAGTAAAATGATTTCATTTAGCACGCAAATTTTTATAATATAATATAATGTAAAACAAAAAACAAAGTTGAAACAAAATGTTAGTTAAATTTTTGGACGATTTATTTTGGTAGCTTCTCATTCATTTTTCATTCTTGAAAATTTGTACTCAAACTGAGTAAAATGGTCTCAAAGTGAGAATTTTTCTATTGGATTCTTTTTGAGTACGAATATTCTCAGGTTGAGTTCAATATACTTGATTAATTTTCTCTGTGTATCTACACCGAAGAGTCTAATACTGTAGTCTAAGTTCTTATTTTGAAACACCACAAGTGTCATTTCGTGGTATTAATTTAATACTGCTCATCCCACCAATAGATTCAGTTAAATAACACACTTAACTAAGATTTTCAAAAATATTCATTGTTCAAAAATTTACCTTTTTATCCGATTTTCACTAAAAAAAAATTCAAATTATAACTAAAATTAAACAATCACGTTTTGAGGTTTATTTTAAATCCTGCCGAACTTCATAAAAAATGGTTTATTGGTTATTAATGTGTTATTTTGAGTATACTTTCAAAATATTTTAACCTTTGTCAATTTTATCCACGTAATATTTTAAGGACGTGCTATTAAATTATAAAACTTAAAAAAAAAAAAAAAACCGTTTGTAAAATTTGAACATCAAGGCTAAATTGTAAGATCCCAGAATAAAAAAAAACTTTGCGCATAAGAAGTGCAACGAATATAAGATCAATTTAGTATGCCACCCCCTTACATCGACTTCTGCCATATCTTATAAATAGTATCTCCCATTCACTATAGAACTCAAATTACTAAAATGATCCAGCCAGCTTGTATACTTTTTCTATGGATCCTTCCCTGGTTGGCAACTGCTCAGCACAACAGGTGTTGGCTCATGGGCAAAGTGTCAATGGCGGAGGATGCGCCATGGCAGGCATCAATTCAGTCTGCTGGCAACCACATTTGCAGCGGTACTATCCTCAGCACCAAGTACATAGTCACGAACTCGGATTGCGCATCAAAGAGTCCACTGTCTAGCCTAAAGGTCGTCGTAGGCATTTTCAGTCGGATCGTGGAGTCCGGAACTGTAGCGGGGGTTTGCAACGTGACCATCCACCCCCAGTCTTCCAAGAAAAAGTACGCCAGCAATTTGGCCCTGCTGAACCTGTGCGAGCCACTGAAACCCTCGAACAAGATCAAAGAAATCCAGCTTATCGACAAGCAGCCCGATCTGCTGGCTAAAGCCACAACTTCCGGCTTTGCCGCCCTCGTACGGAGGGGCTTGACAAAAATCAAAATTTGTTCCGATTCATCGGCGTACCTGCGAAAACAAAATGTCAAGCTCTACGACGTAAAGGCATGCATCGCTGTACGAAATAATATGATTGTTAAGGCCTCTGGCATCACGGATCAGAACATTTGCACCGCCAAGCGAGAAAAGGGCTGCTCCTTCGACAAGGGCTCTTCGCTGGTCATCGATGGCAAGTTGGCGGGCGTATTAGCCCTGGGCGATTGTTCCAAGAAGCCCGATGTCTTTGTCAATTTGTTCCATCACGCCAACTGGATAAAAGATAATACTAAGGACAATTAATGGACAAACATCAATGACATCCTGTTACGTGAGACTATTGTACCCAAGTCTATGAAATATATTTATTAGTGATTATAAGCTAATCTATATCTACGTTTGTATAACCCACTGTATTTCTAGTACGATTCGCCCTTCTTAAAACTTCTCAAAAGCTTATGAAATTTAATGTAGGTTCTGGCTGTACCACATTATAATAGTTTCTAACTTTTAAGGTAAATATCTACAGTCAGAAAAGTTTAGGGGGGATGCACAATGAGTTAAAGTCTATTAAAAGTTTACAAGCAACCAAATAAAAATTTAAGGTAAAAGAACTTTACTAATTGACATTTTGCAAAGTAAGCGTATAAAATGCAATAGTTAAGGCATATAAAACCGTGTAGTATAACAGATTGATGACACGTTTAAAAAGCCGTTTCGCTATGTTACTATATAAACTGCAATCCTTGGTGTAGCCAATTTCATTTGCGATAATGATTCTACCACCACCACTGTTCTTAGGATTGTTTTCCAGTGACCAAAATTCTTTACCCAAAAAAAAAATTTGAAATTTTAGTTTAAGTAAGTGAGTCTTTAAAAAAATATACAGGCAGTATAAAAGTAAAAGTAATAATTTAGTACTATACTTTTTAATTTTATAACTACACCGAAGAGTCTTAAACTGTAGTTTAAGTTCTTATTTTGTCTTGATTTCACGTGTCATTTGGATACTTTCGTGGTATTAATTTAAGACTGCTCATCACACCAATAAACTAAGACACACTAAACAAAGATTTTCAAAAATATTCATTGTTAAAAAATTTACCTTTTTATCCGATTTTCACTAAAAAAAATTCAAATTATAACAAAAATTTAACGATTAAAATCCTGCCGAACTTCATAAAAAATGGTGTATTGGTTAAAAATGTGTCATTTCGAGAATACTTTCAAAATTATTTAATCTTATTCAATTTTATCCACCTAATATTTTGAGGAGGTGCTATTAAATAATAAAACTTAAAAACAAAAAAAAAAACCGTTTGTAAAATTTAAACATCAGAATAAAAAAAAATTTTGCGCATTAGAAGTGCAACGAATATAAGATCAATTTAGTATGCCACCCCTCATATCGATTTCTGCCATATCTTATAAATAGTAGCTTCCATTGACTATATAACTCAAATTACTAAAATGATCCAGCCAGCTTGTATACTTTCTCTATTATTCCTTCCCTGGTAGGCAACTGCTCAGGTCAACAAGTGTGGGTACATTGGCAACGTGACAATGGTGGAGGATGTGCCATGGCAGGCATCAATTCGGTATGACGACAACCACATTTGCAGCGGTGCTATCCTCAGCACCAAGTACATAGTCACGAACTCGGATTGCGCGTCAATGATTCCACTGTCTAACCTAAAGGTCGCCGTAGGCATTTCCAGTTGGATCATGGAGTCCGGAACTGTAGCGGGGGTTTGCAAAGTGACCATCCACCCCCAGTCTAGCAGGAACAAGTACGTCAGCAATTTGGCCCTGCTGAACCTGTGCGAGCCACTGAAACCCTCGAACAAGATCAAGGAAATCCAGCTTATCGACAAGCAGCCCGATCTGCTGGCTATAGCCACATCTGTTGGCTTTACCGCCCTCCGATGGCCAACATTCAAATTTTGTTCCGATTCATCGGCGCATATGCGAAAACAAAATGTCAAGCTCTACGACGTAAAGGCATGTATCGCTGAACATTATAATTGGATTGTTAAAGGCTCTGCCATCACGGATCAGAACATTTGCGCCGCCAAGCAGGACAAGGGCTGCTCCTTCGACAAGGGCTCATCGCTGGTCATCGATGGCAAGTTAGCGGGCGTATTGGCCCAGGGCGAATGTTTAGCAAAGACCGATGTCTTTGTCAATTTGTTCCATCACACCAACTGGATAAAAGATAATACTAAGGGCAATTAATGGACAAACATCAATGGGTTCATAGCCATCTTGTTACGTGAGACTATTGTACCCAAGTCTATGAAATATATTTATTAGTGATTATAAGCTAATATATATCTACATTTGTATAAACGTAGGTCCTGGCTGTACCACATTATAATAGTTTCTAACTTTTAAGGTAAATATTTACAGTCAGAAAAGTTTAGGGGGGATGCACAATTAGTTAAAGTCTATTAAAAGTCTACAAGCAACCAAATAAAAATTTAAAGTAAAAGAACTTTACTAAGTAAAGTTACGCAAAGTAAGCGTATAAAATGCAATAGTTAAGGCATATAAAACCGTGTAGTATAACAGATTGATGACACGTTTAAAAAACCGTTTCGCTATGTTACTATAAAAACTGCAATCCTCGGTGTAGCCAATTTCATTTGCGATAATGATTCTACCAGCTCTACAACTCTTCCTAGGATTGTTGGTGCTCGTATATTCCGAGGACGACGAGGAAATAGAAGCGGACAAGTGCAGAAACGCCACTATGGGAGGAACACCTTTGGACATAAAGGTGGCGCCATGGACGGCTTCTGTTGTGATCAAAGAAAAGGCCAAGTGCTCCGGCGTCATCTACAGCATGGAGTACATCATAACGGCGGCAAAGTGTGTGGACGGGTTTACGACCAAGGCCGTGAGGGTGCGAGTCGGGAGCTCCACTCGCAGCTCCCCTGATGCCGCCGTCTGCAATATCATCGTTCACGAAAAGTTCTCGGAGCTCAACACTCCCTATAACGTGGCCCTGTTGAAGCTGTGCAGCCCGCTCACGGCCTCCAATGCGATCAAGCAAATCCAGCTGGTCGATAAATTTCCAGCCGACAATTCAAAGGTCTTATCCACCGGCTGGCCGTCCGTCAGATGGTGGTCATTGTTTTGGGAGCAATGTCTGGACGGCCTTGCCCAACAGATGATGAGTGCAGAAGTAAAGATGTCCGGTCGAAAGACGTGCATGAAGAACTGGCCAAAGCAGAATCAGCTTGGTAGAAACATCACGGACGACATGTTCTGCACAGAAAAGGCTGGTGACGAAGCATGCTCCTTTGACTTGGGATCACCTCTAGCCCTCAAGGGCAAGTTGATTGGCATCTTGTCCAGAGGCGGTTGCTCCAAACGTCCCGACGTATATACCAATCTTCTCAAGTATAAGACCTGGCTGGCCAAAAACTCCAAATAACTGAACCAGGAGATAAAATCCATAGCTGAGGCAAATATATATTTTATAGATTGCATTAAATTCATTCACTTAAGTCGATTTAAACTTCTGGCCCCGGTGAAAACAAGCTCGTTCAAATATGAAACCTGCTTGAGTTGTGCAGTCAATTCAATTTAAAATGTAAAAAAGCTATTAAGATAGGTGTCAAAACATGCAATACTTCCTAATAAGATAGAACAGAAGGCAAGCCATCACTCAATTTGAGGTATGACTTTGCAGATAAGGACAACTAGGGCATTTTGCCTATAAAAGTCTTGGAGGTCAGGCACTTAGTTTAGTTGGCAATAATGATCCGACTAGTGTTCCCTCTTCTGCTGCTGGCCCTTCCATGGACGGTGTTTGGTGGCCCTGACCCCCAGACCCGCATCATTGGCGGCTCTTCCGTGGACATTGAAGATGCCCCCTACCAGGCGGCCATAATTGTGGACAACAGTGCAGTTTGCAGTGGTGCCATCATCAAATCTGACACCATTCTCACGGCAGCTTCTTGCGTATACGATTACTCCATAGACTATATTCAAGTGCGCGTGAGCACCACTTCGCGGGACTACGATGGGACTGGAGTTCTGCTTGACGTCTGCGGCAAAATCACTCATCCGCAATACTCTTACTGGCGCTTCGACTTCAACCTGGCTCTGCTGACGCTGTGCGACCGACTCGAGACCTCAAAAACCATCCAACCGATCAGTGTAACGAATAGTGTACCCCAGGATGAAGCCTGGCTATCCGTTTCCGGCTGGGGATCAACCAGTTGGTGGGGAAGCTGGTGGGACAGGTGCTTTGGCAGTCTGCCGTCCCGACTGCAGATGGCATGGGTTACGGTTTACAACCGGGAGCAGTGCGCCAAGGATCGGGCTGTTTGGTTTCATCTCTGGGACAATGGCATCTCAGGTTACACCATGTGCACCAACTACGGCACCGGAGGATGTTCCTACGACACCGGAGCGCCCCTGGTGGATGACGGAAAGCTCGTGGGCATTCTCTCCGAGGGCGGTTGCACCACCAAACCCGACGTCTACGCAAGTGTGATTTGGTTTCAGAGTTGGATAGATGCAAATACCTCCCCGGATACTCCTAGTTCCAGTACTAGTACTAGTACTAGTACTAGTACTAGTACTACTGACAGCTCTACTAGTTCAAGTCCATTTAGTTCTGGCTCTACACCTACTTCTAGTTCAAGTTCTTCACCTACTTCTAGTTCTAGTTCTTCACCTACTTCTAGTTCTGAGTCTACTAGTACCAGCACTACAATTAGTTCTACAACTACTTCTACAACTACCAGTACAAGTGTTTCTAGTACTACACCTAGCTTAAGTACTACTAGTGCCAGTACTATTCCTAGCTTTACCAGTACTAGCTCTACAACTAGTTCTTCATCTACTAGTACTTCACCTAGTTCTACAACTATTAGTACTTTACCTAGTTCTACTAGTTCAACTACTGCAGTTCCTACAACATCTAGTGATAAACCTAGTTCTAGTTCAACTACTGCTGGTCCTACAACTTCTAGTGATAGTTCTAGTCCCACTGATGCGAGTACTTAGTTTCAGTTCTGCTTTCATCATTTAATTTTGGAACAATGACAAGTTTTAGTACTTTAAGCCGTAAATCTAGTTTAAGAACAAAAATTCTACATATTGCCAAAAACTGTTTTAAAAGTTTTTTATTTTACATTTTTTCAACTAATTTTAAATTATTTCCCAAAGCTGAAACTAGCCTTTTATAAGTTATTGGTAAGATATTAACAACCCTCAATAAAGAAGCTGTGACACCCGCTTTTACAAGCTACCTTAGCTCGTTTCTTCCTTATGTGCAGAGCTTTTTCTACACCGAAACCACAATCCTGGGGCTGCACTCACAGTGTCCAAGGCTGGGCTCATGGAAATGTCTCCTACAACAGCTCCTGGACATTTGCATTATTCATGCTGGTCGAGTCAAACAGGAGAGAAGTAACGTTGATGGTTGGTCGAAACTTAAATACCCTTGGAACCAAATTGAAATTGAAGTGTTATACAGAAAATGTTGTAAGTATATTTATTTAGTAACTTGATCAAAAAAGAGTCAAGCGCACTTTAAAAATTCAATTCATACATCTCCCATGGAGTCCATAGTGGGGAAACACTGTGAATTGTGCTCGCTTATATATTCCGTTTCCCATGTATGTACTTAAGTTAATTAAAGTTTATTTTTTGGTCGGCCAACAAGAAGCCAAAGACAAATCGAGCATGAAAAAAGAGGGAGTCTTGGTGCGGTGGCCACTTGTGATGAAGAGCCCCCTTAGGTTGACACCATTTATAAGTTGCCTGGCAGCTGCCTGCATCCATTTGTGGCGAGTGCAACCGCGTTCAGGTTCAGCTCGCCACGTTCGGGCTGACAAAATCAAGATCTGGGGACATGGGATTTACTTGGGCCAGGTTGGCCCGAAAACGAAAATACTTTTAGTGCAAATTGAAAAGTTCTCTCAGCTTAGACAAATATCTGCAGTAGTGGGCAGCTGTTGCAGATGGCAATGCTGATGCTCCTGCCTCAAGGACATCGACACGAAAGCCGTTCTGACCATTTATCAGAATGTTATTGGCCCAAAGACAAAAAAGAGGGCAACGGGGGAAGCAAACCAGAGAAAGGACATCCAGGAGAACGAAGACAACTGCAATAAAATGCAATGTTTCTATTACAGCGATTTACGTGCACACAACGAAGCTGAAAGACAGTGAAACTCTGTAAATGAACGGGAAGCTACTGAGTATAATTTAAACTAAATAAACATCAATCAATTTCATTTATGATTATAAATTTGTTCTTAATCTATTACAGCTTTTGAAATTATGCAAAATAATTTTTTTTGCTAAACATAAAACTTATATATTACTTACAAGTGTAATCTTAAAATAACTATTTCTAGTATTATAGTATGAAGTCGTATTAATAGTAAGGGACTCTGATTAGGTGTTTGAGACTTAAAATAACTTCCAATATAATTATATATATTTTGTCCATCCTGATGAGGCTTCACTCTAACTCACGCTCCACTCCACCCAGTTAGCATCACCTCGCAGCGTGAGCAACATTTTTATGGCTTCTTGGACGAGCGAATGGTCTATTTTGGGCAAAGCAAAGTTTTCATGGGTTGCTGTCGTTCGCGATGCGACTTGTTGTAGTTGTTTAGTTGTTGGGGCTTTTGGGTTGTTTGTTAACTAGCAGCAACTAGAAGATAAGCAGCCGAAATGTTTCTCCTGCCGCTGGTCAGATGCATTTATTTCCCTTATTCTTCTCGTGTGCATCCTTCGTTTGCTTCTTTTTTGGCCATTTTAATTGCTGTTGAACTTGGTGTTTGGCAATTGCCCCGACAACAAAACAAAACCCATTACAACAAAAATATCAGCAGCAGCAAATCGAAGCAATATATTTGATTTAACTTGTTTGCACAAAATAGTTTTGTTGGCCTTTTTACTTTGGCGCGCACAAATAAATTTGTTGACGCGCTTTGAAAACTATTTTGGGAATTGCGGAGATTTGTGGCAGAAAAGTAGAATTATTATGGCAACCATTGCCACAATTTATTGCATTGAGCTTGGATGGCCGCAAGTCGAGCGAAGTATTTAAGAATTAAGTTCAATTATGTTTGTGGGAATTAAATGGCGAAAATAAATGTTAAGTGTGTTTGGCACTCACTATTGAAAACATAATGGAAGTGCTTAAATACATAGTGCTTTTTATTTCAAAATAATGTGCCATTGTCCAGTGGCAACCGCATGCAAGTGATTAAATATTTAACCTCTTTTTGTTGTGCCCATTAGTTTTTTATTCACATATTATTTTAACCAAATTTTCATTTTCCAATTAGCTTTAATATGATTTTAATTCATGCACTAGGATATTTAATTGAATTTGTTATGCAAAATCGATTCTCTTTTCTTTCTCCTTTTTTAGTCTGCCGCCAAACAACAAAACAATTAAATTTCCCTCTTTATTTAGCTGCCAAAATAGCAGCCAAAAACATTTAAATTAGGATTAGTTCCGTATGCGCGTGAGCTTTTAAATCAAAACATATGCACCGGCCAAAAAGGGGGTGAGACATCGGGATGCGTTTTTGGCAATTCGGCATATTTCTTTACGCCGCGGGAATATTGATTTGGCCCACTAGTGGGGGGCACACACATAAATTAATGTCCTAACAACATTTGTAACTGAGCAGCCGGCCGTTGGTCATTGCCCGCCCCAATTTCCATTTTCCGCTCCGCCACCCCTGGACAATCCTGGACAATCCCGGACAATCTGGACAGTCTGGACAAAACCGGACAATCAGAGACATTTGGAGCCGGGCACGTCGTCGCGCGCATTTTCAAATTATATTATATTTGAATGGCTTTTTAGAAATTAATAATTACATATGACAACCATGTGTGCACTCGGCTGTGGGTGGGTGTGGGTGGTCGGACGTGGCACTTAATTTTTTGTATTATGCAACTGTCAGCGACCCGACGGTCGAAGGCTTTTACAGCCATTAAAATTGGCACCACGCACAATGACAAGCTTTAGGCTTAAAGAAGCTAATGGACATTTTAAAAAGGGAAATAATAACACTGGCGTAAAGTCATTAACTAAAGAAATATAATTTTCATTAGCTTTACCAGGCGAGTGATTGACTCAACTTAAAACAGTTTCTCAGTTAAAAAAAATTAATTAACCGCGTTATCAGTTCTTTTTATCCATACTTTTTAAATTTAAATATTTTTCTAATTTTTAATTTTTAGTTTTAATTCTATTGGACATAATAATGGTTTATTAATATAGAGTTACGCTTTTAATTTTAGCAAAATCAAAAAACGTTACCATATAGCTCTCATAGGAACTATCAAATATTTTCAGGTGTTTTATGTTTGATTATCTTATATATTTTAGCATTCGATTTGAAATTAATTTTTAATTCACCTTCTAAAATAGTCAAGTCTAGTTAATTTAGATCTGCATTTCATAATTGTAGTTATACCTTAGTAATTTATTTTACTACCTTAATTCCAATAAACCATTGCAATTGGTTGACATTAACAAAAGTATTATTTTCTTTAAAGAATCTATTTATTTTATATATATAATTTCTTTTACTCTTTTATATTTTTCTAATGTGATCAGAACATATTTTCACAATTTTATAAGCAAAATTGAAATGAAATTCAACATGTTTCTCCTTGCTTGCCGGCACAAACTGCAGGATTTTTCTTCTCCTTTATTTTGGTTAGCCGACATCGCATCCGATTCCTTCTACCATTCTATTCTTGGTGGCTTCTTTTTTTCGGTCCCCATACGCAGGCCGCCAAATTTTTGTCGATCCCGGACTGCTACTGAGTCCCAGAGTCTCGGAATACTTTGGCCTCCCCCATTATTAATTGCTAACGTGCGCTGATTTCTTTGCTACACTTTTTGCGGCTCTCCATCTTCCCGTTTGTTATTTGTTGCTGCCCTCCTTTTAGCCAATGTTCAGTGCGATTTAACCCTTTCGCTGGCTTGGCTGTTGGCTGCTGGTTGCTGGCTGTTCGTTTGGTTTTGGTTGTCTTGTCCATTTGGCTCGGCAGTGACATTCATGCACCGGCGAGCAAACCGAAGCTCCGGCAGATGAGCGAGGTCCATGGCCAAAAGGGAGTTGGTAACGACGGCTCAGTATGGCAATAAATCAATGCATGCTGTTCGGTTCGGGACGGTCTTTAAGGCCAGCGTAACTTTGCTGAATTTAATGCATTCTCTGGACTCTCAACTAATGACAAAACCATGTCAAACGAATGCCATGGAATCGCGGTCAAGCAGCGTTAATTATCGGTTTTTTTTTTTTTGCATTGCAATAAACTATTGTTTTCAGCTTTGACTTTGATGAGTCCACCTGCTGGTAACTGCCGTGAACAAATGAGAAATGCTAAATAAATATTAAAATTAGCTATCAAAGAATTCAGACTGAAATTTCATCGAAATTTAATCACACTCTTTGCTTTGATTAATTTTATGCGCTCTTTAAAAAATCAATAGATAGTATACTGTCTGTTGGTGGCTCATTAAAAGCTATTCAAATATCTTCTGTGTCTTACAAATACAATTTTTTATAAAGCTGCAATGTTCTTTTTTTTCCTTAGCAATCATTCAAAAAAAAAATTTATATTTTGCCTTTTTATTATTTTTTTTTTAACTTATTTAAAATTTTAGATTTTCTCTTTAAACTTTAATTTTGGTAAAAGCTTACTTTTCTAGTTTTGCTAAAGATAAATTATACATATTTTAGGTAAGGCACTTACAGTAATCGAGCTAAAATTCAACAAGCAATGACCAAACACACATTATAGATTCTTACTCAACAATTGAATTTAAGCCGAGAACGCAACTGCAGCTGCAATTTAGTTACTTTCAGCGGTTTGGCCGCCATCGAATGGCGAATTGTGGTGCCAAGGCCAACAACGGGCCATCTCCGAAATATATTGGAAAAGCAGAAAACTGAATGGCAAACACACAGAAGCGAGAACCGTGAAAGGAGGCCCTTTTCCGGCTGCAATAAATCTGAGAGGGGGACGAGAGGAGGCGGGGCAGGATAAGTGGTGTTGCCTTACAAGTTGCCATGACATTGTCATGCATATGAAGTGCATGCTACATATGCATCCGCATGCACAACATAAATGCACACTCACACCACAGATACCCACGTACACATTGTTTGGCAGCCTTTAATTGCAGTTACAGTTGCAGTCGCCTTGGCTTTTTGGCCGTGTTTACAAGCTGCGCCAATTTCGCGCAGCTATTAAATATAT